CTTTAGATTTCTCAATGAACTCGACTACACACCGAAAACAAGATCTCCTTGACCACTTGCAGCTATCAAAACGTGCCGGACATGAGTGTGAACCTTCCGGCACTCGTCGGTACAGACGCGATAAGGCCATGAGGTATCCCCGACAGAACCATATACCTGATATATCAGATAGCCAAACAACAGCACATTTTCTAACCAGTTCATCCACTGACGAACTCTCCGACAAACAAACTTCCAGTGGATTCTTTTTTACCTGCAACAGAGCGAAATACAAACTCGCCTGAATGAAATGAAACCGCCAAGTAAGTGCACACTTCGAATAAGTACGCAATTAAGGCGAAGGAAAAGGAAAAACATGTAAAGAAATTTATTAACCAAACTCCACGATAATATTATCACAGAACATCTGTACAACTCATATATCTTAATTAATCTATTACAATGGACTTTCGCGGAGTAAATACATTCAAATATATTGAAAATCGGCAGCATAGCTACATAGAAAAGTCATTTACCCGTTCTCATGAAATAGGTGAACAATGATGAGGAAAGAACAACGAACGGAGCATTCGTTTTAGTTATACAACGAATTGTTATTGACATATGTATGGCCTGCTTTAGCTGAGCAAAATCATCCAAAGAACAATTAGGAAAAACCACCTCTACTAGATCAATAGTCTCATAGGCACAATGAATCACTGCCGCACCTGCCGGCTATGCGTTCGAACTCCGAGAAGCATCTAGTAAAATACTTGTCCGGGTAGCCAGTCACAGTACCATAGGAGTCGCATGATGTTGCGCTATCATTTTGAAAGGACTGTACTGAAGTTCTATTGTAGTTAGAGCTTAAACGGGTCTGTTACAAAACACTAGGATGGGCTTATTCCGATAGTCAACATGTAGAATATGGGCGGCACTGGAACAAATAATAGCGACAGAAAGCTCACAACTGAGTCCCTAAAAAGAAAGCAGTTAAACCATATCCGTGTAAACAACGATGATTTAAATTTAATCATTAGTAAAAAACGGGGTTTGAATCGAGAAAAAAGTGGAAACGGTTGAGTGGTATGAACTATTGAATTATCCCCAGGATTTTATAGGATAAGATCGCACCTGACACCTTAATTTTTGTGGTTTAAGCACTGCCGAGAAACGCAGTAAAATAAGCAAGAAACGAAAATTAATAGTGGGAATAGAGGTTTATAAAAAGAAATAGGTAAATATAAGAATCTGTTTGCAGCTTGCGTAAGAACTGCAACGTTTTGAACTTGCTACTCTTCACTACATACGCCGGAGACTACAGTTATAAGCCGCAATCACGAAACAAAGGTAAGTACGGTCATGCGATCGCGTGGTCACCAGCTACACCCACACAAGGTTACCCGATAGAACGATATTTTTTGAATCACTGACCCATTTATCTACCTATGCGCTCAAAGGACGCACTATATTTACGGTGTAATGCATTGTTAAGAAAAAAATATTACTATCAATAAGAGAATAGCAGTCGAAACATGAACTTTCTCTTGTTCCTTTCATCGTTGCTCAACTGTAGCTAGGAAGACTGTCAAAGCAGCCAAAAGAAGCGAGCAATATCCTGATCCATTTCCCCATTATTGAGAACAGTTCGAAATTTGAATCAGGTTTTCTTACTTCTTACTGCTCTTTAGTTATTTTTCGACATGAATAAACAGTAGACTTGGAGCGCTGAATGGTGTAAGAATTATAGTTGAAATATTTGATATCACCAAATAAGCTTAGAGGTATTGAGAGGCCCTTACTGAACTAGGCATAACTAATTTCTGGCTTTCAGTCACATGGGATAGTTTGAAAAGCTCTGAAGAGTCGATAAGGGTGTCGCAAAAAGTCGCGGTCTTGAAGGGCCGTCGGCCTTTCTTCTGTGTTATTCTTTCCTCGTACAAAACAAGACGCATTCGCTGTACGCTTTTCGGTTTACGGAATGACGGAGTGCAATGTAGAACGGATTCCTCGCAGTAACCAATGAACCGCCGGCTAAGTAAGTAGTTCGATTTCGAATAGGTTCAACAAAAATTTACAAGGATGAGACCGACGTCATAGTCAGCGACGGCACAAGCGATGGATCGACGCTAATGTTTGTCCCGTCGTTGCCAATGGCTGATGCAACCCGCAGAGGCCCAACCCGCAAAAAAAAAAACCCCGCTAGCTGGAGTACTATATTATGCCCGAAACGTCCTACTCACTAGACCTCTTACCTATTCACTGCCACTTTTTCACCCTTCTAGATAGTACCTTAAGAGGAATGCTACGGAATCTAACACTGCTGGAGCGATCCTTTATCACCAACTCCATTACTTTCAGAGAATAGATTGATCAAATTCATCTGATATTGGCAAAGAAGGGTACATAATAATAGTTTTCACTTTGAACGAAAATTTGTGTGTGAGTCGAGATATGTACATTCGAACCTCAGGGTCCTGAACGGCAGAAAACTTTCCCTACAACCTAGTGTATGGTGCTATAGCCGGACAAATTGACTTACAAATGCAGTGTTGCTGGTAACTGTAAAAAGTTGAAAACAGCAGAAAGTGAAACTCACTTTTGAGCCGAGATAGCCAGCAGAGAAAATGCCAGGAGAGTCATGTTGACCGTAAGCATCACCATGTGCATCGGCGAGGTGCAAACGACTTCTAAAATGAGAACGGATTTCAAAGATTTGCTCATATTAAAAACCAAATGTACACAATTCCTTAAAGTAGAAAAGAGTTTCCGCTCCTTCCGTTTAAATTGCCTGTTACTTCTACCAAACACAAATTTTCACTCTATCATGTTACCACCTACTAATGAGCTAAGTATGTCTGTTGTCTGTATGTGTGTATCTAATACTTTATTAGGGATCACCTGCAATGTGAAAGGGTAACGCGTGCTAAGCTAGGCGAGGGAGCAGCGAAGTGTCAGACCGACGTCATAGTCGGCGACGGACCAAGCGATGGAGCGATCGCGGTCGCTCCATCGATTGGTCCGTCGCGACTAGAGCGTCGTTCTCAGAGGAGAGGAGAGAGAGAGCAATGTCAGACGGTGGGAGAGTGCATGCGATAGGAGGGTCGGGTGTTACGAGCTTTAGGGAGAGATGTGTGAGAGAGAAACACGCTATTGCGAGCGTTAGGCTAAGGTAATGTGGAGTAATCCACTATGGAGCAGGGCGGGGGGGGGGGGTCGTGGCTGGTGTTTTTCGAAGACGCCAAGAGCAGTGTGGAGCGCGCCGTAGCGAGCGGTGCTGTCTGGTAACATAAATTTGTTGTGACAATAATTCACACTGTTTGTGCAGGTGCACATGGCAACAGGAATTTTTTTTATAAATCATTTCCTACCGAACGATACGAAGAAAGCTTTTCAATGGGTACACCGCGTAAGACTAACACATGACTACTACAACTGAATTACAACAAAAGTGAGGGAAGAAAATTCAAAACCCACTTGTAATCTCCTTCATCGATATTTTGCCTTCTGCAGCTAAATGCACTGCATTTGCGCATAAACTCCACAACATCACGATATACGGATACGATTGATAGAGCACACCAGCCTTCAAATAAATAAAGTCAAAAGATCCTGTTGTAGTAGTAAGTTTCAACCTACCAAAAGGGCATGTATGACTGCAATCTTAGGGATAGACAGGAGAGCATAATAAAATGCTTTCGCATCTCTGTTTCGCTTCAAAACGAAAATGTATAGTATCGAGCGGCAGCACAGAACAGAAAATAAAAGAAACAACAGATACACAAACGGTAGAGAATATCTAAATGGAGTATTACAAAATAAAAGCTGCCTGAGAAGGAAATCGCTCAAAAAATTCGGAAACAAACTCACAGAGGGAAAAACCACTTCATAAGAACACCGCATCGGTTTAACATGATAATTATAAGGGTCTGATAATTCAGGATACCTGAAGGAAGGAACTAAATACAGGAAGAAATATTCTTCTACCATTCTTTTATTAGGGGTTCGAACTAGAAAGCACCAGATGTTGCTTGCCAGCTTGAACCCTGCAATATAGAGCAAACCAAGCATCTGCGAGATCGGCAACTTCTTCTGAAAGCTAACTCCGTAAAGGTTGAAGCAAGAAATTGGAAAACGGCCGTTTCTTTTACAATTACCTAAAGCAAGCCGCTTCATCTAGGTCTTTTTGATAAGTGAGAGTCCAAACGGTACACGATTCACAACTTATGCACTGGCTTGATAATCTACCTAATATGACCTCTTGCTCCTTATAGCTCTAAGAAACGCTAACTAGGGCGACAACTTTTTAGAATTTTGAACGCTTTTACTTGGGAAATTTCTACCGTACATATAATCATGGCGGACCAGCAAAGTACATCACAAAATCACTACCACATTCCCTTGTAGAAGTAGTAGAGGAAATTTGATCGAACATCCGCCGGCATACCCTACTTCCGTTTAACCGATTGCACGGTCGCAACATTGACCCATGATCGGACGTATCTACTCTACATATATTCGAGCTTCAGTGATATCGATAGTATGATCACAGTCTGGCAGATCCGATGCGGCGTGTTATCAACAAAGGCATTCCCCTGCTAATGGACAGATCCTTTCATTCTGATGTTTTACATTTTCATGACCCTTCGATCCCGATGACTTTACCCCAACGACAGGCGATACCTGACTGACTTCGGTTTACCATTCGCCTATCGCCGAGAAAAGGCGCTACTGGCTCGAATGTGACAAAAGAGTCACAGGAAGTGCAACTGCAATAGCCGTTGCTGACTGTTTGTATTTTCTTTCGGTCCATTGCTGGCATACTAACAGTCGTACACAAGTGCAGGTGAAAATTAGCAGCCAATTGACTCTGATGCCATGGAAATCGACAGCCGATTTACCACATGTACCTCGTTTTCATAAAGCTATGCGCCACAATGGCAAATGAACATGCAGCGTCACTGCAGAATTACTTTATTCATCAGTACTTTCATATTTATAGGATTCATACATTGCGGTTGCAAGAGCGGATGGCCCATGATGGCTTACAAATAGCAAAAGTGCTGAGAACTTTTCTAACTAGCGGCGTGTACATTTTGGTTCCAGTACGAGAATTGCATCTACGATAACTGAACGAAGCGGCTTCATAGCTTGAAAGAGGGTATTCCTATTGATATGTTATCGTTTGATACTGCGCAAATTAAGGAGCAAACAGAACAAGGAAAGAAGTTCATATGCCATGGTTATGTCAGAATACCTAGTACTGAGAGAGGAAATTCACTCACCACTCCTTAATGCTCGATCGAGCACATCCCCATACAGTGAAAGAAAGTCCTTGGCGGAAATACCAGCACAGCAGCAACTGACGCAAATGATACATTCGAGAATACAGCATAGGTGTTCACACAACTCGTGCACACGTGACCTGGAGGAAAAGATTGTCTCGACATTTCAAGTAAAAATGGATCATGGGATGGTTTACGAACTACTTGAACTTGCCTAAATAGTGCGCGAATGCATAGAGTAAACACGATTAGACTGCGGCGCACGCGCAATATGGTTCGGGGTTGGCGGGGGGGAGGAAGGGGCAGCGCGGCGCGCGCCGGCGATGCCGGCAACAGGGAAAAAGTTGAGCGGGGGTGTAGCAGTGGGTTGGGCAGAGAGTCAACCCTGCGTTGCGCAGTTCTCAACGGCCACGTTGCGCAGTTTCGCCCGATTAGACACGTTCTCTCGCGCGAACATTCACACTCGCATGCTCGAGCCGTCTGTGTCTCCGCCCATACAGCGTGCGTTGAGGATCTCTCAACGTGCCGTTGCGAACTGCGCAACGCAGGGTTGACTCTGGTCTGGAGTGGGGGGCTCGCCTTAGTATGCGTGAGAAGTTGGAACGTTCTGTGAGAAGCTCTAACGTTGGAAATACACTACATCGCGAGCCGCGCGCGGCGACTGCCCACCTCCCCGAGCCACATTGCGCCGCGGCGCTAACCGTAGCTTTACGGTGCCAAGCGCAAAATACGAGGGCCGGGGCGAATAAGGGCAATCGAGGGGGAGGGGGGAGAGAAAGCGGTCCCCGCGTTGTCGTTACAGTCGTAAGCCATTGCTCGAAGCGGCGCATACAAGGGCAGCATATTGACTTATTAAAAGGACATTTTTCATGGGTCCGATAGCGGGTATTTCATGGATCCAAGAAGCTTGTTTTGAAAAAAGACCAAAATGGGATTGAACTGAAACAAAAAAGTTGCTCACGTATTTTTGGGTGTGTGCCAATGCACACAGAAGCAGTGCACGAGGAGTGGAAGTATAGCCATAAAGAGCAGGAAAAGCCAATCATATGGAGACAGTTCTGACTGACATGGAGAACAGACTCGATGATCTACCGCACCATTACCCCACTTGCATGGCTGAAATGATGGGGAACAAATTGAATTTCTTTTTTCGAACCAGAACATGGAAAACTGTAGTTGATTTCAAGATTTTGTTAGATTTTCACACAATGACATAAATATCTCCATGAATAACAAAGGCTCTATTACATACACTGAAATACTCAAAATAATAGCTAGCACTTTTCCATTTCATGGATTCATTTGACGCATTTACTGATAAACTAACAGAGTTCATGAGAGTGCTACTAGGAAATGGTCATCATGAGGACTTCATTTCTGATATAGCTAAGTGCATTTATCAAAATGATTTCATATGTTGCAAATTCTCAACGGGGTTGTGATTTCACAGGATCAACGGCTGGCCTAGCTCACCGAAACAAAAAGAAACTGCTACAGTGGACTGGCACTGTGGAAAATGAGTCAAAATACACCAAAAATCACGACACATTTCCCCAGTAATCCTCCTAAAAGGTTACCGACTAATCCCTGGCAGGAGGATCGAAAACAAACGCCTAAACAAACCTGCACAAGTTGAACCAACTGGGCTACTTTATTCAAAAAGGGCCCTTGCCTGAACAGTGTAACTTTTCGGTAACCTAGATAGCTCCTAAAGCAACGACTCCAGTGTCTCATGTCAGAGAGTCTACTCCGTGGGTGGAACAGGAACCACGAGAAGATGTTGGAGGATGGGCCGTTTGTCGCGGCTCGAAAGTGGCCCTGGCAATGACTGTTAGGGCCCCCATAACACCTGGAGGACTAGTGTAAACTTAACGGACGAGCAGATATTCAAACCACCCATAATTAGTGACGTGGATGAGGCGGAGCGGCTAATTCAAATATGCATGTAGAGGAGCCATGGCGCAAACAGTTAGCACAGTTCGTTCGGCTCTGTCTCCGTACAATTTAACAGGTATTCCCTCCCATCCTCCTTGAAATGGGGAAGCCTCACTTTAAAGAAGGACAGGGAATATTTGTTAACGACTTTATCAGCAATTTGAATTTTTCCATTTTCAGTCAGCTCGCATCCACAATTCATTATCGACAGCAGTTATAACAATGTGACCTAGGGTTCTTTCTTTAGAGAGAAATCCCACGAATCTCAACACGGTTGCGAAACGACGTTCGCCGACTTCATTGCTTCCAAAGCTTGAGATTTCTCAACAACCATACCAAGGTAAGTAAACTCTATCCCATGACAGAGGCTTGTAAACCTAATGGTTATCAACTGAGAATGCTTCGTTTGGGCCGAGATTCATGTATTTGAAATTCATAATCAGAAAATGTCGGAACGCTTCACAGCACTAATATAATCGTTCAGTCACGTCCTCATCTCCCTCGCTCTCAAAAAGAAGTATAAGTAAACAAACACATAAGAATAGAAGGCCAAGATGGCCTGCGTTGCCGTACAATTTTTTCGGCGACTAATCACACAAATGTGCAGTCATATCGCTAAAAGACAATGGCCAGTTCTTTTAGCCTACTTATGTAACAACAAGAATCAAAGTAAAAAAATGTATGAATGTATAAATGTATGAAGTAAAAGATTTTAGAGACGAAAACTGAATTTGATACTCACACCACACTCTGACCAGATTGTTTCCGTTCCACTATCGTTTCCAGCAGGTAACTTGTAGCGACCACAAAATCCATGACACAAAGATGGAAGTGAGGTAGCGTCTCCGAGCAACGGACCTGGGGACACCATTGACACCTTGTGAGCTCCGAGGCGCACATTACAGCATCTAAAAACTATTCCACTATGTATAATTGTCACGTTTGTTATTCTTGCTCGCTGAGTGATCAAGACCACAGAGATCAAGACATCTGTATTTCACTGAACCATACAGAATAAACAAAAATATTATACAAAACCGATCCTAAGCTAGAACAGACTGTAGGTTTATCTCTCCCTCTTTGAGGAAGTTTGGCAGTGCAATTGAGTGAGCAAGACAATTTGAAGGCAGGGGTCGAAATCGAATTGGTGCGTTATTTGTTCAAAAATCAGAGAAGTGCAATGAGGAGCGTCAGTGAGAAGAGGAAGTAAAAATTGTTATAGAAAGCATTAAAATTTCCTTTTGACGTGGGTTGTGGTATGGCGAGGAAAGACAGCGCTGCGAGGAGAAGAAAAAAGCACGTCACACGCGAAAGGGCGAAGAAGCCATGCATGCCTCGACTGACATGGACAGCAGCACGGCAGCGCCCAGTTCAAGTCCTTTGCGCCATTCCTCGACTTTGAGTCGTGACAGGGTCGCGCCTCCTGCGGAAACCTCTCTTTCTCATCCTAAAGGGATTAGATTTTGATACCTACACCCGACCCGTGGCTTTAAGCGTGCGTGATCACTCAACTCCGATACAACATGGCAGAAAGAAGTAATCGGTGACGTTCATAGTTTCCTAATGCTGAATTCGTAACATGAAACAGTTTACTTCAACTTTCACGAAGTAAGCAAGTAGAAGTACCAAAATACTTCAGTTGAAGAACGCGGCAATGAAAAGCATTGCCAAGGCATTTCGCTGCACTCAGAAACTACGTCACTGTTGGATAACCTATGTCGCCATCGCCATCGCGAATACGACAATTTCGTAAAGGAAGACCCCCGAACAAAGAAACGCCCAACATCAGCGGTGAACTTACAGCTGCGCTTTATATGAGGATTGTTATACAAGGCACAAAAACTCGTCACCATTCCACGATTACTGCCCAAAAACTCAGACAAATATTTCACTGGAACTTTGGCTATGGGTTATTTAGGTCCTCGTAAAAAAAGTAAACTGATTTCTGAAGCAGGCCGCCTTTTGCGATAGAATGATCCATGATTATTCTTCTCAAATTTGAGATCAAATTGAAAATAAAGGTTACTTTGTGTCCATGAAAGCGATACATCATTCTAACGCTGACACCATTGGATCAGCTGTGCGGGGAGACGTGCGTTTCTCCTCCTGGGGTCAGGTCACCACAGTTGCGCGATCATTGAAGCTAAGGTTAAGTTTGGGTTTAGACTTAGGTTAAGGCTTATGCTTACACATTGGCTTATGCCTAAGCCTATGATTGGGCCTAGGCTTAGTCCTAAGCTTGCTCCGAGCGAATGAACGGCGTCTCAATTTTGGGTGACCTGACCCCAGGAGGAGAAACGCTACGCACCCCTCAGGATTAAGTCAATGCTCAATTTCACAAAAAAACTTAAATGGGAAGGACTCTTGGGCAGTAAGCAGTATCAATTTAGCCTGAAGGGTACTACATCTTGTAGGTTTAGTTTTAAATCTCCTTACCATAACCTCTATAGACGAAGATTCCAACAAAATATTTCCTTCTTCTGAGGAAATAACAAAGGAATGGTGCCAAGGAACAATTAAAAGGAATAAATGGTAGTGTATGACAAATTCAAATATAAACCGTAGCAAAACGGCTCCAACATAAAGCAGAATGTAGTCGAATCTTTATGCAACTATTCACAATATACAAATATTTAACACTTTTGCAAATAAAACTAGAAGGCACTGGTTTTCACCGAAACGTCTGCACAAGGCTCTGGATATGATTTGGGAATGAAGAGAATAATAGGAGCTCAATAAGATATCGTGACATAAGGGAATTTTGGAAAAAGATCAATCTCATCACGAATAGATAGAATATGAATAAAACACTGCGGCTCATTTCCTCCTTTGAACACTACCCATGATAAATGACCGCTCCATGTGGGACGCATCCTTCAACGATGATTGTATTCTCCAACCCGGAATATCAGTGAAATCCAAAGAAGAAGGCACTTCATCCACATTATCTGGCGAGATATTCATCTGCAGGTGCCTGAAGAAAAATTGAATGAAATACAACACAAAGAGAGGTCCTTAACAAGTTGACGACAGCGTGACGCGATAACGCGTCCTACCAGTTATCCCTTTCTCTTGCACTTGCGCGACGTCACTTATTCCTAAGATCTTTGTACTTTCATTCACAGCCAAAATTAGCAAACTGTAAAAGAATTACAACGCCTCTCAGGACCAAATATTCTATTTGGCAGAGGTTTTCCAGACCTTACGGATATGTATGTCTGCTTCAGTTCATTCCTCGTTACTTTTCATCAACAAAAACATGTTGATAAAAATGAACAACAGAAGCGAATGCAAACCATGTATAGAAAGAGCATGTGTTTTTACTACAACAACCACGTCCAAATTAATTTTGGAACTCTAAAGGGTAAGTGAGTAAATTGCCTTTTCATGGCCTTGCCACGTCATTTCTGGTCGAATTCCATTACTGTAACTCCCGACATGTTAGACAGATCGAACATTATTGAGAACACTTCATCGCAATTCCAAATATTGCGTAATTTACAGCTCAAAATCCTGAATTTAACTGTGCGGCAGGCGGCGCTGGCAAAAAATACCTCTGCGTTCTACTGCGTGCAAAAAACCCAAAACACCGGCGCGTGTCGCAAATGCATTAGGCACGATTTAAGACCCTCTTGCGAAAATCGCGCGGATTTCGCTAGGCGCCAGTTGAATCACTCAATGGCGCTTAGTACCAGTAACGCCGATCGCGAACCGCTAGCGAATCGCGCGATCGCAAAGTCTGACATCGGCCTTGAGAAGATTGTAGAAAAATTCTAAATTCTAGTATTTACTCAAAGAAGTTCTGAACTTTTGTGCCACGACTCATTCTTTATCAAAAGCTCATGAAAAAAAAAAACTTAAATCAAATCAGAACGTTGTAAGCCTCACATTTTCAGAACCTGCAAACACAGTTGCTTGAAAGGCACCATAGACAGTGAAGTTTTTCGCTGAGCAGCCAACGTCGCAGCTGACAACTTCCATACAGAGAGCTCTTTCCTCATCGAGAGAAAACTAAATTCTCGTACCCAGTACACAACATCAAGAAACAGCATGACTGAAAATAATACAACCGAAAAAACAAGTCTGGTGGCCATAATTTTATAAAAAAAACTGATGAACTAAATAAAATTTGCGCAATAATGAATATGAAGAAGTGGGAACTAAAAAGCCGCTGCATCGCACCAAAAATTTCAGAAAGTCAGCCATACAGAACAGAAAAAAAGAAATGTTGGAATTCCTTACCCAAGAGTGATGACAAAAGAATGGAAGTGTAGTTAAGAGGGCCAAGGATATAAACAAATGCCGTAAATCACCGAAACGAGCATCGATTACGAGAACAGCGTTGTCAATCTGAACGTCCGAAATGTAAGAAATTCATCGTAGGCAAAGAGGAACCAACACCCAGTGAAGCTAAAGCAAAGTAGGCAACACTGAGTTTACATAAACAAACGAGAAAAAAAGCGGCTATTCAGAGAAGCATTCACAACCATTGAATGACAATTTTGGTTACGTTTTTTTATAGTAGGGATCAATCTACAGCACCCCAATTGTTCACAGAAAAGGGATGTGGTTAGGAGAAGGATAAGAGAAACGGATTCCTCCAATTTGACCGACACCTTTTGGCGCAAGCGCGGCGGTGCAAAATTGGGATCTTTGACGAAGTCCTCGATTTAGTCGAAGCAAAACTCCTTCCAAAATCTAAAGCAACCTAAAATCTCGTCCTACCCGATTCTTGAGCTGATAATAGCGACATTGTTCTAAAAAATAGTGAAAATTTTCTCGACGGCAAGGTTCGCGTTTCCCGCAACACACTGCTCCAAGCTAAATTTCCTTGGCATATAAGCCAATGATTCTAAAATCAAATGCAGGCTCTGTTGTCCGACGAGGGAATCTTTGCTTGAAAATTGGAGAATTAAGTGTGTGGTGTGAACAGTGTGAAAAATAGTAGATAAACTGCTAAAAAAGTGGTATTTGTCGAGCTTTCGCCCTTCGTCAACGTGTTAAAAAACTTGATGCACGGGACTGTTCGTAACGCCTAAGTGCTGCTTATGGAGTACAACGACAAGAACAAAAAAAGCCAGCCATTTACGCGGGCGAGAATACTGAAAACATCCTTGTGGCGTTCAATGTTAATGCGCTAAACAAATGCATGGTCGGATTTATCTAGTACTGATGTAGAATTCTATTTGCAATCGCAAGTTGAAAGACAAACTTACTCGCCATGCAGCAACAATTAAGCAAAGCAAGGAAACTATATCCTTAAAAACCCCTCTTGACACATAACCAAACATAAAAAATTTGCTCTTGACAGAGCATGGTAACAGAACAACCCCTTGACACAGAATAGTAATGCAGTATACGGGGTTGATTGGTGTCAAGTATTTAAAAAAGGTAGGGACCTGCGCGAAACGATCCTGAAGCTGGAATACAAGCTTTGAGGATGATCGACCGTCAGCTTCTATATTTACTGTTGTACTTGTTCAATATCCGCAAATTGGAGACGTACTGATAAAGCGTAATGCACAGACGGCGAGAACAGGGTACCCTAAAGAATGAGAACCAAATTTTACTTTGTTTAGAAATTAATACTTTTTCTTATTAACAACTCTAGAATTCTAAGGAATACAGAGAACCAAGCTACCGATACACGACTAGAAAAACTAGCCCCCGTAAACAAAATCGTCTGAAGGACGAACAAAATCGTCTGAAGGAAGGGAGAGAAGTTCACCGTATTATAGTCAGAGAGAAGGAGAGTAGAAAAGGAATTCGTATCTTCCGTGCTCTGAAAGTAAGACCAAATCAGCTCTAAACCGATCTGACATTGTCATGCTCCTGTTCGTTTCCCATGATTTCTTTCAATTGACCATAAAG